AATTCGGGCTCAATCAACCCTAGAGATTACCAGAATACCAACAACAAGAAGCACCATCCTGTGGTTAACGTGATATTACGGTAACGGTAGTGCAGTCATGGGGGCGCCCGGGATCTCCCATATTACCGAGCGGCTACAATAAATCCAGATTTTCAGGATCCATATAACAGTAAAAATCAGTTAATATAACGGTAAGAAACAGTAAATCATATAATACAGGATCAAAACGGTACACGGTGCATCTACAAGACCCATGTGACCGCCCACTTTCATCCCAATTCCACACAAACAAAGGCACAGCAATATCACAAGATACTCACAAGTAATCAAGACAATATTTAATTATCAACAAAATAATGCATACAGCAATATGGCAAATAAATGCCCAATGAAATAAAAAATTTAACCGTAAATGCAATGAATGCAGGCGGATAGGCGAATTATCTAAACACTACTACACAGTTTTTTGAGTTGTCCTAAAAGGACTGCCTTCTTATTGTTGGCGCTCTCAGCCTTTTGTCTTCACAGTCCGAAACACATTTATAAGTATCTATATAAATAAGTATAAGTATCTATATAATAAGAAAATTCTACATAAGAATTCTAATTTGGGAAATGCAGTTTACATTCATTTATTTGTTTTCGTTACCCGTCGGTTCACTAACTTATCAAACTATACCATATATCTATAGTGCATTTTTATTTGATTTATTTCTTCTAATTTATTCATTAAGTAAAACGTCTAATTATTCGGTAATTAATATTTTATAATAATATTAATCAAAATATTAATATGATTCATAATAATAATATTAATAATGATAATACGATTTATCATATAATATTCATAACGTTAATAACTTGAGTCGGTATTTAATTTACCGAACTATATATAAATTTGTTCCTCTTGTTTATTTCTTTATTTGTTTATTTATCACTCTCATAATCTTATTCTATATTTTTAATTTCTATGAATATCATAATCTTATTCTATATTTTTAATTTCTATGAATAATTTAAAGTATTTTAATTTCTAAAATAAAATTTATTTTCTACTGACTTTTCGGCAGCATCCCCCCTCAAAATTGGATTATCCACCTGTTAAAATGTCAACATTATATCAATTAATTCCAAACCACATAGCCCATCCATCAGGCAATCAATCCAATCAATAAATCCTATCCTCCACATTTTCCCGTACCAACATACATTTATAAATTTTCTTTAATTCCATATACTCGACTTATCTGACTCTTCAATTAATTTAGTTTAATATCGTATTAAATTTTAACTAAATATTTTTATTAAATTAATAAATCAACACTACTTACTTTTAATTTAACTAAGCAATAGATCAATACTAAAATTAAATTAAATTAATTAATCAAAATTGCTAAAATAAATTAACTAATCAAGATTACTAACATTAATTTAATCAACTAAAATTACTAAGTTAATTTATACCCAAAATTACTAAATTAATTAACTACAAATAATAAAATTAATTTCATTAATTAATATTACTTAACTCCTATAATAATATTAATCAACTACGATAATAAAATTAATTAACTACAATAATAAAATTAATTCAAGTAATTAAAATTATTAAAATTAATTTTTTGTTACCCCAAAATATAATTTCTGTCAAAATTGTGCTAGATCGGAAACTTGTTTGTGCCGGATCCGAGTTACATGCGTCGGAAGTGCCGGATCCAACTGACAATGGCAATGGAAGGCGATGGCGGCGCGATCTGGTGGTTGAAGACTCACTGGAGCTGCAGCAGGCTGGCGATGGCGCGACGAGGTGGAGGAGCAAGCGGTGGCGAGCGGCTCTGCTGCAACAAGAAGCGGCGGCTCTGCGTTGCCTCTGTCGGACCGTTGCCTCTGTCTCGCCAAGAACGCAGGCCCTAGGAAAGCAAAAATGAAAGAAGAAAGGAAGAGAAAAGAAAGAAGAGAAAGAAGAAGAAGAAGAGAAGAGGAGGTGGTGGTGCGGTGGTGGGCTGGAGGTGGCGCAAAAACGGTCTGGGGATGAGTAGGCTGGCTAGAGATAAAGGATGAGAGGGTTTCTGGAAGGTTTGGGTTGGTTCGGTCCGATTCCGGTTCGATTCAACCCAAATCTTGATTTTTAATTGGTTTTCGAATTTTTAAATCGATTTTCGGTTTGGTTTATCACTGTACAAATTATTAATTTGCATTTAATTAATTAAACTCATTTCCAGGCTGTCGATTTATTAAATTTAAATGGAAAATTTTTGAAAATAAAAATTCGGGTTGTTTCAGTCTTTCTCCCTTATAAAAATTCGTCCTCGAATTTTAAAAGTAACAAGAAACTAGGTTTCACTGTACAAATTATTAATTTGCATTTAATTAATTAAACTCATTTCCAGGCTGTCGATTTATTAAATTTAAATGGAAAATCTTTGAAAATAAAAATTTGGGTTCTTTCAATAATAAATTTAATTAATATTTATTAATTTTTTTTGTTAAATTATTATGTTAAGTGTATTTAGAAAATAAAAACAAACGAATTTTCGCTGAGAATTTATTCTAAATATAATTTTATATAATTCAATTAAATTCTTTATTTTAATTTATAACATACCAAACAAAGGAAATTCATTTGCAAATGAATTCTACATCCATAATTCATTTGTTTCAAATATAGTATAAATAAATATTGATCAAATAACAAAAATCATAATCACGTCTTATTTAAAACCATGAAACATTACATAGAGAGTATTATTATTTTAGGGTTATTCCATTTAATGATAGATCATAATTAATTATCAGGCCATTAATTTAATATTCCTCTCAAAAACTAATTATTTGACAAAGGTAATCACTATCATTGTCCTTTTTAATTTGAAAATTCTAATCAAATTAAGTGAAACATTATTCAAATCATTAGAAAATAACTCCCTAATAGAATTTGAGATAATGCTTTTTTTAAAAAAATTTAAAATTAAAGAATCATGAACTGTCATTCGTAGCAACCTTTTACTTATCAAAATTTATTTCTTATTGATGACAAGTGTTTGACTTTCTAATAAACAGTTGTTTAGTAAGAGTGCAATCACGTCAAGTTTTATATTCTGTTTGGATGAAGATTATTTTTTAAGGAATCAAAATAGCTATGGCAAACAATATTATATTGTTTGGAAGAAAAGAAAAAATAACGAAGAAAGGAAAAATTAATATATTTTCTTACCTGACCCACATAGATAGAATCTCTTCAATTTGGAGAGAAAATAATGGTGGAAAGCAGGAATTTCTCATATTTTTATGCAATTACTAAATACTCCAACTTTTATTTTTATTTTTGCAATTGAATTAGATTCAGTAGAGGATATGATTTTTTTTTCTTTTTTTCTCTTTGTGATTAAATTTGTTTTGTATTTTGATATTTTTATTTTGATTTACATTGATTTTTGTTTACTCAAGTTGCCTTTAATATTTTTATATTAATTAAATAATTACACAATATAATTAAGGTATTAAGTTAAATTAGATTGATATTGCGTCCATTTTTTTTATCAAAGAGGGAAAAAATAGGATATATTGTTAAAAGGATAAGAGAGGTTAAAATGGTAAAATGTCAATAATAACACTTTTTCGTCTATAATTTTACCTTTTCCAGACAAAGGAAAATAAATTTATTTTCTTTCTTTTATCATTATCCAAACATAAGGATGGAAAATAACTACAGAAAGAAAATTAATAATTCTTCATTGTTTTCATTCATGTTCTTTCCTTAGAAAAATAAATCTCTTATTCTAAATATTCAATTAGTAATATATGTTGAAAAAAAATTGTGACAAGTGATAAGACACTATAGAAATATAATTATATCAATATAAAAGCTTCATGCCCGTACACAAATGATATTCATGAAATAGCCCACTAAAATTTAATCTAATAGGATATTCAATCCTAATTAAAATTATCATTAATCTTTTTAAAATATATTGCTTAGAATATAATAATATACTAAAAAAAAGACATAGCATTAGTTGTATAAATCTTTATATAAACTAAACTCTATTTTATTACTCTGAGTTAATATTTATAAGACTTTATATTATTAATTCCATTAAATTCTAAGAAAGTAGTTCTCTCTTGGCTCACCAAATTGATGTGATCAGAAGACTCGAACTCGAAAGCTCTTACTTCTCACATAAATGAGAAGACCAATCAGAGTATCACCCAGTTGGTTAAAGTCGTCGTATATTTTTTAATTAATACTAAACTTTTGTATTATATAATACTAATTGAACGAGTCTAAGGTGCACCTTAGGCCATCGGAATTTTTTATTATAGGAGAAAAATATACTTTCATTAAACAATGCAATCAGTTAAAACAAAGCCAAAAATGCATTGGGGAACATCCTTCACTCAAATCAATTCATCTAAAGAATTAAAACCTAATTTAGAAAGCCCAAAAGCCACTTGATTCAACGACCTATGAGCATGAACACAATGGAAAACTGCAAAATTCCTTGATAAGGAATCGAGATTTTGGCTAGTTCCTAATGGGTATAAAATTCGGCTTTTTAATCGAATTGAAATGGAATCGGTCAAAATGAGAATTAAACCAAAATCAATATTTAATCCATAATTGAAACTGTGTCGATGGTTGAGTTCTGATTTTTCATTTTTTAGACTAAAACCAATAATTCAGTTTAAAATAGGTGGTTTCGATTTGAAACTGCACAAAACAAGAAAAAAGAAAAAATTGTGAAATTGAACTCTATTAATGAAACTCTCAATTTTAGTGGTTAAGGTAATACGACTGTGCCCTTGCCTTTGAGGTAATATCGACTGTGCAGTGCCTTTGGGGTAATATGGACTTTGGCAAAGTCTTTGATGAATTTTAGTTGTTCTATATATTTACCGTCTCTGCACCAAACACAGACCTGTACTGTACTATCTTTTCAAAATAAAAGTCTTTTTGTGCAAGTGTAGAAGCCATGGCACTTAAGTCTTGGTCTCTTTGCCTTTCTATCTTGTGCATGTCCTTGTCCTACTTCAACCATGCCATTTCCTTGCACAATGAGACAGATAGACTTGCTTTGATATCCTTTAAAGATTCCATACAACAAGACCCATTTCAGGTCCTAAGTTCTTGGAATAATTCTTTACATTTTTGCAATTGGTATGGCATTTCATGCAGTCTCCGACATCCTAACAGAGTCATAGCCTTGAACCTGGGCTCGCAAAGGTTAGTAGGATCATTATCACCTCATATTGGTAATCTCTCCTTTCTCAGACGCATCGATTTACAAACCAACAGCTTCCATGATCAAATCCCACAAGAGATAGGTCGTCTCCGTCACATACAATATATTAACCTTGGCAACAATTCTTTCCAAGGTAATATACCATCCAACTTATCTCACTGTTCAAATCTTATATACCTTCGTCTCACTTATAACCAGCTGGTTGGTAGTATACCTTTGGAGCTCGGGTCTTTAACAAAGCTTGAACATCTGGTCATGGCCAGAAATAACTTCACTGGAAATATTCCTCCTTCTATTGAGAATCTCTCATCTTTATCGGAAATCTCTCTTGCTTATAATGGGATTCAGGGACAGATTCCAAAGGAATTCTCTCAACTCAGAAACTTGAATTACTTTCTGTTTCAAGGAAATAATCTGATTGGTGAGATTCCTTCTGGCATCTTCAATATTTCCGAACTTGAATATTTTTTTGTACAGAGTAACAGACTGAATGGCAGCATTCCCTACGATGTCGGCCTCACTCTTCCAAAGCTTAAGTACTTCACAGTTTCAAGCAACAGATTTAGTGGAGCTATCCCAATTTCAATGTCAAATGCTTCTATGCTTGAACAAATTTCTTTTCAATACAACCAATTTTCTGGTTTAATTCCTAAACAACTTGGAATGCTGCGATATCTTCAAATTCTAAGCTTTTATTTTAATCAGCTGCAAGATGACTTGAGTTCCATCAATTCTCTAACTAACTGCTCCTACTTAGAAGTTGCCCATTTTGGAGCAAATTTTCTCACAGGGACTGTGCCCATTTCCATTGCCAATCTCTCCAAAGACTTATATTTTCTATCTGTGGCAGATAATCAATTACATAATACCATTCCCCTGGGTATTGAAAACCTTATCAATCTGAGGTTCTTTCTGTTTGGTGGTAATTACTTCTCTGGCCCTTTACTTATTAATTTTGGGAAATTTCAACAACTGGAAGAATTGGATTTGAGAAGCAACAGATTCACAGGAAAAATTCCATCTTCAATTGGTAATTTATCTTTCGTATCTTATCTCCGTTTGGGTTTCAACAATCTACATGGAAGCATACCTTCTAGTCTTGGCAGTTGTCCTAACTTGATCCTTTTGGATCTCGCTCTGAACAATCTCATTGGTCCAATACCCAGACAGGTTGTCAGCCTTTCTTCCCTGTCAATTCTCCTCGATTTATCTGGTAATGCACTTAACGGTCCTATTCCTTCAGAAGTTGGTATGCTGCAAAATCTTGTCCAATTGGATTTATCAAATAATAGATTATCTGGAATGATCCCAAACGCGATTGGCAAATGTTTGGGTCTGGAACAGCTTCACCTGCAGGGAAATTCACTTGGTGGGGAGATACCTCCAGTTTTAATATCTTTGAGAGGTTTAAGAGAGTTGGATATTTCAAGAAACAATCTTAAAGGGCGAATTCCAGATTCTTTAGCTGAGCTTCATGGGCTAAGCTATTTGAATTTGTCTTTCAATGAGCTTCAAGGGGAAGTTCCAAAACATGGAACCTTTCTAAATGCAAATGTTGTTTCACTTGTAGGAAATAAAGGTCTTTGTGGAGGTATTACTGAATTTAACCTTCCTTCTTGCGTCTTTCTAACTTCAAACAAGAATAACCTCTCCTTTCCACTAAAAGTAATAATTTCAGTGGTTTCTGTTGTAATACTTTCTTCTCTATTGATATGTTTCTTAATTTTCCGGTATAGAAAAAGAATTTCCATGAGAAAGAATATTTCGATGCCATCCTTCAACTACGAATTTTTAAGAATATCTTATGCAGAGCTCTCCAAAGCTACAAACGGGTTCTCTGAAGCCAACATAGTTGGTGTTGGTAGCTATGGCTCTGTTTATAAGGGACTTCTTGAGCAAACAAGAAAACAAGTTGCAGTCAAAGTGCTAAACTTGCAACAAAGAGGAGCTTCAAATAGTTTCATCTCTGAATGTCAAGCTCTTGGAGCCATCAGGCACCGAAACCTTTTAAAGCTACTGAGTGTCTGCTCTAGCATAGACTTTGAAGGCAATGATTTCAAAGCTTTGATATATGAATATATGGCAAATGGGAGCTTGGAAAAATGGTTGCATGCTCAAAATGTTGGAGAAGATGGACAAGAAAGAGAATCAAGAAACCTGAAATTGATAGACAGACTGAACATTGCAATTGATATTGCTACTGCAATAGAATATCTTCACAGCGGTAGCTCAACAATAGTAATACATGGTGATTTAAAGCCAAGTAATGTTCTTTTGGATGAGAATATGACTGCCCATATCGGAGATTTTGGGTTGGCTAAGATTGTCTCAACAATTTATACCGAGGCTATGCATCCAAGAACTTCGCTAGCAATCAAAGGGTCTGTTGGCTATGTTGCTCCAGGACGCTTTTTTTTTTTTTTTTTTTTCAAGATTGTCATCAACAACCTTCTATACCGAGGGCTATCATCACCAGAACTTCGCTAGCAATCAAAAGGGTCTGTTGGCCTATGTTGCTCCAATGGCACGCTTTTTTTGTTTTTTTTTTTTTGTTCTGATATTATCTTCTTTTTAAAAAATGCTTCCGTTGTGAAATGGTCTTTTTTTTTTTTTTTTTTGTTCTATTATCTTCTTTTTAAAAAATGCTCCGTTTGAAATGTAACATTTAGGTTTAAAAGAAGTATTATTACAATGATAACCTTCTTATTAGGGATAATTATACGATGTTGTTTCAGGACTCAATGCATATATTCACTTATGTATCTTATCTAAAAAATTCTATGGCACACCGAACTTTTATTTAATCTATTAAACACTTCAATTTTATCAAATTGTAGTTGTTAAATACTTTAATTTTGCAAAAACTATTCTATTGAATATTTAAAGTTGTATTGATAGATTATACATTTATTAGATAGTTGAAAATTGAAAATGTGAAAATTATTTTTTCAAAGATTATACTAACCACACGTCAAATGAATATTTTATACATAAATACTAAAAACGTCAAAAAAATATATATATATTATCACTAGTATGGAATGGAGCATCATGTTATCAAAATTCATAATTCGAAGAGCATAATAAGTCCCTCGCTAAGTTTCAGAGGCCAAAAAGTTTTTTTCTAAGGGTAAATTTATGAATTTGGCAGTTTTTTCTATTTTGGTGTTTCAACTTCATATTTTATCAATTAAATATTTAAATTACAATTTTTTTCCCCATCAAGTCATTTGAGAAAACTTTTTACCAAACCTTAAAATAAATTTATTCAACAAATTTTGTCATACATAAATATGGGATTTCATTCATCTCTCTTTCTTTCTTTTTTTTTTTTTTCTTTGTATCTCTTGGTTTTTAGAAAGAAACCTCAAAAAATTTCTTATGATTTTCTTTTATATACTGAAACATAACAATAATAATTAATAATAATAATAGAGAGAAAGATAAAAATTTAATTTAGAGAAATGTTGTCCTGTTCTCCATAGAATTTTGTTGTTTCACAATTGAATCATTCCCTTCTCTTGGTATCAACAAACAGTTTTTATTCTTATACTTTCTTCCCTTCTGTCTATTTTTGATATGCATACTAGTTAACATTATTACTACTTGCAGAGTATGGAATGGGTGAGCCAGTTTCTACAAAAGGAGATATTTATAGTTATGGCATACCATTGCTGGAGATATTTACAGGAAAGAGACCAACTGATGATTTTTTCAAAGTTGATCTAAACCTTCGTACCTTTGTTGAGAGATCTTTACCTTATGATCGCTACCTTTGTTGAGAGATTCTTTACCTTATGAATTTAACGAAACATTGTAGATCAAACATTCATATTGGTTGAAGATTGGAGGAGGAGAGAGCTTCGGAGAGAGCTTCAAGGACGCTATCCTCTTTGTACTAAGAATTGGAGTTGCATGCACAATGGAACAGCCAGGGGAAAGGATGGAAATGCGAGATGTGATAAATGAATTGCAAAAGATCAAGAGCTCTTATCTAAAGGGATTGCTGGTGCAAAACCCAGAAAATGCCTATCAATTTGGAGGTCCGAGCTCCTCTCACGTGTAGTGTCTTTTATCTTCATAAATTTCCATGGCTAAGGGTTCCAACTCAACAACTTTTGAGATTTTTTGAAGAGTCGTTCTTAAGAGAGCAAAGTACGTTGAAATTTGTAAGTTGTGTTCAGAGGGAGTTACTATCTATTGTTGGTCTCTACGGTAAAATGGGGCATGTGGCGGATCAAGAGCCTATAAAAGCATTATCAATTTTTTGTCTCTGCCATTTCTAAATAAACATTATTAATCAAACAGAATATTAATAGTTTTTATTTTTTAAAAGTATATTAATAGCTAGTTAGAAGCTTCACTAGATCATTTTCCCATGACTTGTTACTATGTTGTATATTAGTTATTATATCTTTTCACACTAACAACATTAAATTTTAAAATTTTTGGCTTTTATACGTAACATATTGTGATGTATGGTTAGCAAAACTTTTGAAATAAATGTAAAAATTTATGAGCATTTTCAACCATTTAACAAGTTGTCATGATATTAAATTTCTTTATAGTTTTTCAACTTGCATGGATATAGCTATGCCAGCTTACTATTTTTTTTTTTTTTTTTTTTTTTTTTTTTTTTTAAAGTATTTGAGAATGGGGCATCCGAACCTAGGATACTATTACTATACTAATGCCTTGATGTGCGTTTTTTTTTTTTTTTTTTTTTTTTAAAGTATTGAGAATGGGGGCATCCGAACCTAGATACTATACTATACTATGCCTTGATGTGCGGCAGCTTCCTGGTTGGTACAATTTGAAAGTGAATATCATTAAAAATTGCCTACATACATGGCTATTCATTAGACCTCCATACTAAATAATCATACAACTATACTGGCAAGCAAAATTGGTGAATTAGTGAAAATAATAATTGCTACTATAACTCATCATGACCATCTACCACCTTTAAGCCCCAGTTCATATCCTCACAATGTCTCACATGAGGAACTAAAGCGCCTGTATCTGTTCCTCTCTTAGCTTTGCAATCATAGTATGGAGGAGCATGAAAACAAGGCTCCATTGAAATTGCCCGGCGACAAGGTGGATCGGGAGCAGTCTCATTTTCAGGCTTGTAAAGTATCCAGGGTCTCAAACCTCCAAGACCTTGTGCAACATAGCCAAAGGTCGACCATGAACTTGTAACCAATGTATCAGTCAAGCTGAGGAGGTACATTTCTGCCCATGCCTTCCGGTTGTGTATGTACTTCTCTGTTTGCTGATATTCTTCATGGCTTGGCTGGTAAACACCAACAACTTCCCCAGTTCTTGTTGGGTATTCCCAGTACATGTTCCTTAGATTCTCAGAATACCCTGAGTTTAGTGATGTCACTAAAACAGCTTTCAATTTAGGGTTATCGGAAAGATTGAGAACAGAGTCTTGCATATCTACTTCAGGCAACAATTTCTCATGCAAAGTACATGCTAAAATTTGATCCATCACATGTTTGAAAGGACCAGGTCTTGAATCAAAAACTCTTATTTGAATGCCAATGCTTTCATCTGCTTTGGCTAAGTAAATTTTGTAATACCTTGTGATTAGTCCCCAAACGGGATTTGAAGGGTGGAAAAGGTATCGCCCGAGGTGGTGGAAAATGGTTCCTTTCTGAGGAAATAAATTGCTCAACTCTTTCTCAAAAGATGTAATCAAGAAAAGTGATGGGACAAAGTAGTTGTCTGATTTCATAATCAACCAGGGAACTTTTGCAAGAAGAGATTGATCTTCATCACAAAAGAAAAGCTTATCATGATCATCATAATCATGAACTAGATGAAGGTATACATACGGACGAATTGACTCTTCTGTAGCATTTATCACATTGTTCTTGAGCATGTTCCCATAACAATGGGAAGATTGCTGATCGAAACTTCCAAATTGTTCAACGACAGGGAAATCCATGGGCAGTAACCATGAATTCTCAGGAAATGGCTCACAGAAAAGATCATCCATATCCTTACCTCGGTCAACAAGCAGGACTCTATTTGTGAGAAGAGCATAAAGAAACGTAGAAGCCAAGGATAGTATCCGGTTACCCAAGCCACTAAAAGATATCCACACGATATATTTACAATCATTTGCAGAAACAATTCTTCTGTCAGACTTGAGTTGTTCAATAGCTTTATTATAAGATTCAGTATTTGGTCCACATCGTTTATGAAGATCCTCGTAGCTTCTGAGCCGGGAAATCAGATAAGAAGAAGGCTTATACAGCGAAGCCTTGCGATAAAAAGAGGACTGGTATCTGCTGGTGCAAGCAGCTTCATCAAATCCAGCAGCAAGAAGTCCAGCAAGCAGTTTGTCATTTGGCTTGTCTGTAAATTGTAATAGAACATTTTCAGATCCTGAATTGGAAAAGAGACAGAAAATATAACTACAACGTAGAACCACTGATATTAGATACAAAATTAAGTGAAAAATGAATCTCTCCAAAATCCCATTTCATTCCAATTTTACTTCTACCCAAGTAAAATGTGAATTAATTTTGGAGCTTCTTTCAATATAAATGAATTCAATGAAATGTTATAACTCATTTGCAAATGCATGCATTCGTGTTTGGTATAACCGAAAGTCTAATTAGTACATCACAATCATTCCATGAAATCAATCATACATGAACCAAATCCTTTCAAATTTTGAAAATTAGCAAATCAATTCTTAAATTAGTAAGTTGACTAAACATAGTTGATTTGGAAATGGATTTTATTTTCAATGGCTAGGATACCAAACATGAACCGATTCTCATCCAGAAATACTCAATGTCGGATTTCTGCCTCATTTTGCCAGAATCAACAAACCTTAATAGTTACCAGCAAATCCGATCCATTTTTTTCCAATTCAATATTAATCAAATCCCGTCATTTTCAAACATAAATTTCTCAAATCAAATGCAACCACATTCTAAAATTAAATTTTAAATAAATAAATAAATAAAATAAAGAAGAAATGGCACTCTAGATTACATTTCACATTAGCATAAAACAATGAATAATTAAAAATGTCACCTAGTCCAAGCCCAATTGATTCGAATGCCGTGACATTCGGTTGAGCTCCGTTTTGGAGAACTCTAGCTTCAGCGAACCCGAAGAACCGATCGGACGGTGGATGTCGAAGCACCGTTGCTAGAGCGAATAAGAGTGGCAAAGCAACCAAACCGGACGCCAAGATCTTGGTTAGCGTCATCGTACTGGATCCAAATCTCCTGACTCGGAGTCGAGAGAGCTGAGAGAACCCTTGATCTGTGTACTTTGACAATGATAATCGCCTCCTTGTGAAAGAATTTAGATCCATTCAATTCTCTGCATTGGCCAGTACTTGGTTAGATTTTGGGTTTAGATTTTTCTGGAGCTTTATTTGGTTTCAGAGAAAATCGGGGAGACGAAAGGGAGAGTTGAAGAAATGAAAAAGGCTCTGTTTTTGAGTTGAAATAGACATGTTTAAGGTGAGCGACAGGTTTAATGTCTGATGCGATGCAGACAGTTCAAGTTCGGACTATCGAGTCAATAAAACAAAAACAAGAAATTGGCTTCTGTTAAGAACGCGTTTGGATTGACATATAGGCTCTTTTACTGCTTCAGGAAAGAAAATAAATAATAATAAAAAAGAAGGAAATGCCTTTTTTTGTTATTTAAAAGGAAGAAGGAAAATAAAGAAATAGAGTAAAAGTTTTTTTTCTTATATTGAAAAAAAAAAAGAAAATATTTATACAAAAAAATTATAAATTTACTAGATATATTTTATTATATAGAGTTATAGACAGATATAGAGATTACTGGATCTAAGACTTTTATGTGAAAGATTAAATATAAGTATTATTTTTATGCTCAAAATCAGTTGTAGTGGACTAAATTTTGCAAAACAAAACTTATTTGGAAGTTTTTGTTTTTTGTTATTAAGCAAAATATATTTTGATTGTTTATGCCTAAATGGTACAGTGTTTGTCTTTACGAGCAATTTCAATTTATAAATACAAAAATTTAACCGCAATTTTTATCATTTTAGTCGATCCTGGCGATTTATTTATATTCTAAAATTTCAAATCTAGAAATAAATTGAAAATGGAAGTAATAAGAGTCGCATAAATAATGATATTTAGAATATAACTTACCTATTTAAAAAAAAAAGATTTTTAAGGGGTAAAAGTGTATATTGGTTCACATGAAAACCCTAAAAATTATTTTTATTGTTAGAACAAAAAACCAAGCGAATTAACATTTTGCATATAAAAAAAAAAAATTATTGTAAAATCATTGTGCCAGTATGGAGAAGTGTGCAACATCATTAAAATTTGTAATTATAACGAGAACAAATCAACAGTGTAATTAGAAGTTGTCATTTACCTAAAATGTTTAAATTAGAAGGCCACAAATGGTGTCAGCCAACTTCAATATTCTTCCTTTTTTTTTTTTTTTTTTTTTTTTTTTTTTTTTTTTAAAATGTTTAAATTAGAAGGCCACAAATGGTGTCAGCCAACTTCAATATTCTTCCTTTTTTTTTTTTTTTCTTTTTTTTTTTTTTATTTATTTTACCAAAAAAAAGGAAAGCAGGTTGTGGGGTGAAATTCATTATTATTTTAGATTTTGAACTTCAAAACCATATTCTGAGAACCATGGCTATATTGCCATTTTTTTTTTTCTTTTTTTTTTTTTTATTTTTTTTTACCAAAAAAAAGAAAGCAGGTTGTGGGTGATTCATTATTATTTTAGATTTTGAACTTCAAACCATATTCTGAGAAACCAATGGCTATATGCAACTTTCAATTTAACAGAACATAAATAATCCCACATTTCCCTTCTTTTCTTTTTACCCTGAAACAAAAATTTAAAATGAATATCCCTTAAGAGTTCTGCTAGTGCTTGGGATTGTACCCGAATCTCTCAATTGTATATCCCTTCAGAGTTCTTTTTTATGCACAGTATGTGGCTGGTTCTTGCATATTCATAGCAGCAATACCATCCAATTAGCAAAATCGTTGGAATCACTATGTAGCCTGCAGAACTAACCCAAGTAAAACACAGATCATGCATTTCTCCCTCCTTTTCTACTAACAGCCTCGCACAATCGGCAGGGCAACGTGTCAAGGCTTGCCAAACGGGTCTTTCCATAGTTACCCAACACACCACATCTTCTCCATGCATGGTATTCTGCGTAAGCTACAGGATCATTGGCAAGCTTCTTGATATAAGAAGCCAATTCCTCCATGGATATAAATTTAGTTCCATCTATTATTGAGTGCGGAGGAACAAAGTCATCCACATTTGGTGCACCAAAATATATCGGAACTGCACCCGAGTCCAACGCATAAAATAGCTTTTCTGTCACGTAACTTTCTGTCACTGTATTTTCAATTGCAAGCACAAACTTGTAGTGAGACATGGCACAATGTAGATGATCCCACCATTTTGGCTTAACACTGGCATCATTGGCACACTCGGGGTAGAAATTAAGAGCCATATCCAACCCACCAACATTGTTCAAGCACTTGCCAAATGAATGATGTGGAAGCAACCTAAGTAAACTCTTGGCCAGCTGGTTCCTTTGAGCGAGGCACCGTGATGAAGACCAATAAACAAGTGTGTCCTTGAAATTAAGAGAAATCCAAATCAGTACCCAGTTTCTTAATTAGCAATAGCATAGCTACAACTTTCCATGGAACAGAAAATAAGCAAAAGCCAAAACTTACATTTTTCTTACTAGGAGACACGTGATAGTTTCGACCATTATGGAACAGTGCACCAGCATATGTTGACTGAACATCATCTTCTGCATGATAACTAATAAATATATCCTCAAGACCTGACCGTTTTCTGCCAGCCTCAAGATCCATATAGACACGGAGTGGATCCCCATTGCGCCTCTAGCACACATGATAAAACTGCCTCTCAAAATTAAGCAAAGAAGCATAAAAAGGGGATGCTAGCAAGTCAAGGCAAATTAGATAGGAGAACAATTTGCCTAGATAAACAAAAGAACTGCAGTGCAAGTGATATAATGTTATCATAAATGGTAATTTTAGAGCAGGTATTTCTGAAACATGTTTGTCAAGGACATCTCAGCACCATAAAATAACATGAACTAATAACAGTTACTTTCTAGTCAAAGGAAAAGGGAAGGAAGAGTTCCCAATACAGACCCTGCAATCTGTCAAAAAACAGTAGGGGAGCCCAATGTGAGGCCCCACCACAGCAGGTCTTGACAGGGTTAGATTCAGTGTCTTCTTTACACATTATGGTTGGCTGTTTCCATACTGTTATGCCCAGGCTGCAGCTTGAAGGGCTGAATGCTGAAGAAAATATCGCCTTCTGATGTTCATGCTTATCTATTTAGAATGGCTTGCCAATCAATAAGATGATAACACACAATAAAAATTCAATTCATGGCATATTGGTAAGGCTAATCCTAGCTGTCATAACATTGATTTTCAAGAAAATCAACCACGTCTCATTTTTCCCACTTGCTTATGAATGTGCAGGAAGTATTATTTAATGAACTGATTATAATCTCCTTAGCAACCTCAACATGATAACATGTTGTGAGATTAGCTACACTGGATCACAAGAGCTAATAGCTTTTGTTCTGATTTCATCTTTCTCATTTCATGATGAGTCCTTTAGCACAATGGAAGAATAAATAGAAGAAACAAATCAATTATCTCATAAGCATAACATCTTACCAAAGTTCAAAGACAAAAAGATGCAATTAATTTTCATTTTCTGTCAGTCACAAACAGAAACTCCCACAAGTATACATTTCATCCACCAAACTTGAGTTGTTTCACAGAAACTGATCACAGGATCTCCCTACCCAAGCTCAAAGCCACCGGAGCACCATACCATTAGGCCCTTCCACCCCCAATTAGAAGATAATCTTACTAGAAATTTTTGTGTATTCTCTTTCTTTCCACATGGATATGAAATCCAAAATCTACCATCATGATCCTGATCCCCAATCATGTTTATCTTTAAATGCAAATAATCATTCCACGGGAATGACCATCATAAGACTTCAATAACTCTTTTTCTTTCTACATGACTGTGAATCCTCATAGGAAATTCACATATATATATAATAATGATCACTGTGACCTAAATACTTGAGCTAATATATTATTGCCCCATTACAAAATAATACCCACTAAACTATCATTCCAAATGGACTATTCCTAATTTAGGTGCCATAAATCTACAAATTGTACACTGTTTTCTTAATCAGCACTTCTGTCACAAGGCTAGTTCATCCAGTCAACTATAATATTTTCTCGTCACACTCTGCACCATTTGCTTTTTTACGCAGACAATATGAAGCTCAATAGAAATAAGTTAAGCAAGCTTTCAAGTCTTTTAATTGCTAACAACAACCAAGCAAGCAAAATGGCATGCATCAGAAATGATTTCTGAATGCTTGAAGAAACAAAAAACTGTCAATTTTACAGATGCATGTTAAAAACTCAAGATCAAGTGTTCTCCAACCAGAAAAGAATGATACAACAACATGGAACACAAGGAAAAACAAGTACGTAGACTTGATAAATTCATAATGACGACCTAAATTTTATATACGGTTTGTTTGGAACATAACGAGTAGTCTTCTCGCCCATAAAAAGTCTTATTTAAGTAGTCTTATTTGTAGCTTTCAAGTATAGTTGCTAAAGGTTAGATATTTTATAACTTGGGGATTCAGGGGCAACTGTACAAATTTCAAGCTTTGCATGAGCACTGACCATACGTCTCCAAGGTTTATCAATTAATCTTTATTCATAATGTGATTCTTAAGTGTTGAGTCCTTGTTGTTCTAAAAGCATTAATCCATTTGGTTTTTCCATGGATGCCCAAAACCTTACAAGGTTAGAACTTCAGTATATAAATAAGCATATGCGCAATGCTTTATGGTAATTGAGTTGATCAATAAAATTAGCAAAGATTTCCAGTAATTATTTTATTTAGATTGTGTGATGCAACTCAACAGTGAATTTAATGCCTATCAAACATTGGATGAAAGCTTAAGGAATTTTACGTCTGGAGCTTAAAATCTTATTATTTTTCTTTAAGTTTGCAAGGACATTTTGATATAATTCAAGCGTTAAAATTCCTTCCTTCAAACCTTAGAAACACTCCATACCATCAAAAAACTACTTTTTCTTACCCGTCAAATAGGTTCAGAAAAGCATAGATTAAGTTACTGTATTTTGGTATTGCACAGAACCAAATCAGCACTACAAGTAGAATGATCCCTATTCCCCATTCACCAATCTCAATTGTCTACAAAATTTACTACCCTTGCTTTCAAACAAAACTAAATTGTAATTTTCATGTTGCTCTGCATAAAATTGCTGAATGCGTATTTTATTACCATGAAAAGAATGCTGATATACACCAAAGGTTTCATATTCCTTACCTCCTTCAAGCCAGCATCAAACCAATATATCTCAATTGCTATTCTTTACTTATTTTCAAAGGGAAAGTGTATCACACCCACCTTCATACAAATGCATCAATTCAGCCATTTTATATTAGATTTTTCTTTTTCTTTTTTTTTTTTTTTTTTCCAGTTTCAACATCTTGCTCAGCCTTTTATCTTTGCCATGCTAATTTTTATGGACATGATTTTAGACCACCCAAACTCACAATCCTGCATCATAGCTGCTTAAATTCAGGCTACAATAAGGATTGAGTTTCAAACTGCTTTTTTTTAGATTTATTTTACTTCCTAAGAATAAAAAAATTAAACTGCTTTTGAAAAATCAAGTTAAAATCATGGGTTGTTATGCCTTAAATATTGCAAATGCAATTTGACAAAAGCAGCCAAACCATAATATCAAACAGGCACTCAATCATGTAAAAATTTCCCCTTGAATGTAGTTAGGATATTATGATTTAACAAAGCCCCATCAAACTTCTTCATTTATACCAGCCTTATTTTAATCCTATGATAGACATTCATTCCACTTCAACTCTCACTCAGCATACTAGACTGAGTACTAAGATTGTGGCCTTTCCACTATCAAAAGGACTTTACCTAAATACCGACGCCGCCTGAATGCGGATTGGTCCCATCATCATAAGCAAGTGAGGGCACCATACGTTGCAAAAAAGAAAAAAAAATGTGCTTTATGCAATACCTGCACTGACTGCTAAATTAATTAATGACCAAATATATGAGATAGTCTTACACCATTCTAACCATAATCTTTGAAGCCTGAAATACCACATTCTTACAATTTCTAAGATGCTGGTCCATGTCAAGCTCCAAAAATAAGTCAAGAGAGGGAACAAAATTCAAAAGATTATGTGCATCCACATTTGTGTTGGGAAGGAACAACAACAACCAAGTCTTAGTCTCAAACTAGATGGGTAGGTTATCTTAATCTTTTGTTTCAAATATCCGCTCTGATCAAATTAATATCAATGCAAGTCAAAGTATACATCGAGAAAAATTTTGAAATACTTTTTGTAAAAACATTTTGAAGGGGAATTTTTAACATCATATATTAATAATAAATAGGACAAAGCACAAAATAGGCAACAACAACTATATTGGGAGGGAACCATTAACAACATATCGGAATCAAAGCAAAAGGAATTGAGATGTTATATTCACAGTCCAAAATAAGTATGTCAATGCTCCCTAATCCTTTGACAAATACACGCTCTTCTCTAGATGTTCTACACTTCTGGTACATAAGTTGAACTCAGAGATTTGTTCTGCATGCAATTAAGTTGCCTAACGGCATTAGAACTATCCATTATTAGTACTATCCATTATTAGTTCACGTCCTTCATTTTTAAATAGATCAATACTCAATGACCATCAACTTTTGCAACAGTAAAAATCTTAAGCTTCCAACTAAGAGGCTGCAGATACAACACTTAAGTAAAGCTACTAAACAAAAAATTTTCAGTGATGGCATTGACAGTTCCATTCTCAGAACTCAACTGTGAAGAGATCACAACAGATATGTCTCATATAATGACCGGATGGAAGAGCACATTATAGATGTGAAACATATATGCTAAATGAAAATCAATATCACCAGTCCATGAAGCTTGTAGAACGGAAAAAACATACAAATTTGGGAATTGGCAATTTAATCAAGTTACAATTTGAAACCAAATCAGATCACAAATTAAAAAAAAAAAAAAAAAGTTATCTGAAGCCTTGTGAACGGAAAAACATACAAATTTTGGGAATTGGGCAATTTTAATCAAGTTACAATTTTGAAACCCAAATTCAGATTTCACAAATTAAAAAAAAAAAAAAAAAAAAAAGTTATCCTATCACACCATTTACTAAAAAAAAAAAAAAAAAGTTATCTATCACACCATACTGTACAAGACAAAATGTGCATGCACCAAATTTAGCTACTCTCTGATCATATATCAAAATTTGTGTCCACATAAATTCATTTAAGCTCCATAAAACAAATATGCATCAAGAAATACAATTTCAATAAATCAAAAATCTCCAAACAAGTATATTAAATAAATAAAAAAAAGAAATAAAATACCCGACGTGGAGGTGTGGTTGTTTCAAACAACAAAGTATCTGGTTTATCAGCAAGAACTGCAGATTTAGTCCACAAACAGGTCAACCCACACCGGCAAGAATACAAATTATCCAAATTATCAGGTATCCAAGTCCACCCTTTAACCAAAACGCTAACATGACCCATCTTCAAATCACTACAGTCAGAATCACCGCCAACCACTTGCAAAGAAGCGGACCGATTAGAACCAGAAGACCCAAAATGGATCAAATCTTTAAATTTCTCTCTGAACTGGACACAACCCACTTGAGAATCCCATTTCCTGAAAGCACCGGACAAATCAACAAAAGGGTCGGGTATGGAGGATGTAGTGGATAATTCATCCTTGATAGCTGAAGGAATTGAAGTTGTTACAGATGGGAATTCAAGAAAGCCCAGGAAGAAGAGGATCAAGAATGTAAAAAACATCATTAGAGCGACAGTATAGGTGTTGAACGGTTTCAATGACATGGCGGGACTGAATTGAGAATAAGGTATTTGCTCTCTCTCTCTCTCTGCTTGAGAGAGAAAGAGGGTTTTGCAGTTGGGATTTAAGGTTTTGGACCAGCAGCCTTTGATTTGATATTACATTTTTCTCTTGTGGAGAAAACCGTAACGGAAAAGAAGAAAGGAGAGAAGTTTAAGACTTCAAGACATTCTGACTAGCGTGCAACGCCACGCGGCGCCCTTACCATTCTTCTGCTCGTCCAATTTAATTTAAGCTTTGGAGTTATTTATTTGTTATTAGCGGCAGAATCCGTGCATCATGAATTAATATTTTATGACAGTCATTTTTTTAAAATAGTAATATATATATATATATATGAAAGCTAAAAAAAAAAGATAAAATCCAACAGTATATATATATGAAAGCTAAAAAAAAAAAAAGATAAAATCCAACAGTCTTTTTTATCTAACTTTTTATTTTTCTTTTTGAAAAAATTTTTAAAATTTTATTATATTTTTCTACAATTTGATTGGTTTAAAAATTTTATTATAGTTTCAAAATTTGTTTATAATTACTTTAAAAGATAAATATAGGTTATTATCTTTGAAAACCTCGTCTAATCCGACTAAAACCTTAGCTTTTAGCTTTTATATTTTTTCGGTTTAATAAATTTTTATTTTCATATATAATCTAATTTAATTCGATGAAAACTTTATCTTTTAAATTTCTGAACCTAAAATCTAACCATATATATGTTGGTATATATTTTTACCTCAAACGTAAATCACAATTTATGTGAATAGAGGTTAGTTTAATAGTTTTTATATTTTTTTCATTTTAATAATTTTTTTTATTATTATTTGATTATATTTTTTACTATAGTTTTGTGTTTAGAAATGTAATGATCTATACATTGCAAACTGATTATTATATCTCCTGGCTTAGCCATTCGGCTCATTCAAATCTGCCATACCAAAGCTACAGTTTGCAATTGTGATCAAATCTGTGAGATTACTCGGTCTATAATTTTACTTATACTTTTTTTATAAATTTATTAATCAAAAGAGAGATAATAATTGAACAAAATTTTTAAAAATTTTACTTTATTTCTGTTTAAATTAAATGTTACCATTCCGTAAGTATTTCGAATTCCTAATTTACAAAGATAAGTAATTACTGTTGATTCTGTTGCGTAAAGATAAATAATAGACTATTAAGAGTATAATCTATATATATCTATTTTTGAATTTTCTTAATTATATGTAGAATTATATATGACAATATAATGCATTTAAATTGTTTGAATTACATAAACTAGGTAAAACGTAGGTAGGATTAATTAAGTTATTGTAGGATTAGTAAATTGCATTGTCAGTCATCTGATGATAGCAGGTGCTGTTTGATACGAGAAATTGAAATGGACAAATATGACGACATAATGTCATAAATGGACAAATATGAAATGGGTTAATTTGGACACATGCATTGCAGATTGGTCGATGCACCAATACAGAAGATTATACATGTACAAGTTAAAAGAGCAAAGGCAACAAAGAGGACTACAATGGTAGCAATGAACAAAGTAGTAAAGAAAACTTTAGATGAAGATGCCGAGAGTTTCACAAAGAAGTAAGGATCTTCTTTATTTTCTAAATATTGAGCGATAAAGATTTGTAATTGTTTAAAGATTTTGGATACCTTCCACATAGATGGTCTGATTTTGTCATATTTATATAAATATTGTACACGTGGCTTTTATTTTTCCTTTAGAAGATTATAGTTATTTATTCAATTTGTAGATTATTTTTTGATCAATTTCTTATTTCTCATTATTATTTATAGTTAATTTCTTATTTCTTATAGTTAATAACTACTTGATATTTGCTATAACCACTGTGATCCTTATTTATTTTTATCTTCTCTATTTTTCAATTTTATTTATTTCTAAATACATAAATAACTAGATATTTATGCTTTTTTCTTTTCTTTTTTCAAAAATTATTCATCAATTAACAATGTTTTCTAATTCTTTTCTTTTCTTTTATCCTATATTTTTTTGAAAATTATATTCTAAAATAAAATTTAACAAGATAATTATGACTTTCTTTCTTTTTTCAAAATTATATCTCCTTATTAAATTTTTTCCCTCATTTATCTATGTATTTTAATTGGAAAACTTTATTTTTTTCATATTTATTTTAAGATAACATAAAACTAATATATTTAATTTGGAAAATTTATTTTTTTTCATATATTTTTAAGAATAACAATAAAAAACTAAATAATATATATTATATATATTATTAACACACACACACACACACACAATATATTTCTTTATTTTTTTCTCACAAAAATATCTATCTCTAAAATTTATATTAATATTAATAGAAAATTTAATGGATATATAAATTATTAAAATAACTAGATAGTGTTAGCTGATTTTTTAATTTTAAAAACTATAGCTTTCTATTAAAATTAAAAGTTATTTCTTGATCTAATATATTTTTTATTTGGATAATTTATTTTTTCAAAATTTATTTTTTCAAAATTTATTTTAATATTAATATAAAAATATTAGATATATAAAAAATATTAAATAAGTAGATAATTATATATATATTTTTTAAAAAAGTCATATCTATCTATTTAAATTAAAAAATGCTCTTAATATATATATATTTTAACTGAATAATTTATTTTTTAAAATTAATATTTTAATATTAGTAGAAAAGTTATTAATAAATATATATAGATTATTAAATAACTAGATGTTATATGTTAAATTTGAAATGGTATATGTTAACTTGCAAAAATCATCCCTGGCTAAGTTGGCATTTCGATGTTTTGAATATTATTAATAATTGATTTGTTAGATGTATCGAGTATGTACATTTACATTATCAGCTTAATAATTAATAGTGTTGTTTACTTTTAAATAACTAAAAATATACAATTAACTAAGAATATATTTAAAAATATTTATATTCTTGTAAATAATGTTTTAATTTTCTCTGTTAAAAATTATTTTGATATTATCATTACTGATTTATTTCAAGTATAATTTTATTGTTTTTTTTTTCTAAACAATTGATAATTTATATTAGTTTATAAAAAATAATAATATAATTAACTACAATAATTATTAAAATAATATTTAAGTATTCGAGCGTGAAACACGGTTTATTGACTAGTTATATAATAAAATGATAGCTTGTATCTCATTGAAATATGCTGAAAAGTTGCAACGCTGAGATATGCCTTCTTAAGTATTCTGAGAAGCCTTTTATAAGGTATGCAATAGCAAAAGTCATACATGATATGACCTACATTAAAAAATGCATACACATTATTGATGTATTTTTCAATAGTAATAATAATTTTGAGAATTTAAATAGTTATATTGAAATAAAAAATTAAGTATTTTTTTATTTTATGTTTATGATTTATTATAAATGATTCTTGTACGTTCCCGTATCTCTTGCACTATGTCTGTACAACCTAATTCTTGGTATATGAGACTACTCCATAGACTAAACTAATCAACCACGGTTTGTTTTTATTACCAATAAAAAATAAAGTATTTTTTTTAATTTATTTTTGTGTCATTGAAATAAGAAATTAAGTATTTTTTTATTTTATGTTTATAATTTATTATAAATGATTGTTTATTTATAATTATTATAAAATGGATTGTTTATTTATTATACTTATTTAGTGTACTGTGTCCTAAGCGTTGTGAATGTCCTTTATATTTTTAAAAATTGCATATCTCATATGTTCCTGTATCTCATGTTCCCGTGTCCGTGCAACCTTAACTCCTACTCAATACACCAAGCTTTTAATCCAATCAATTGTTTTTCTGAATTACCAATTTAAAATAAAGGTATTTTTTTAATTTATTTTTTATTTTTGTGTCATTGAAATAAGAAATTTAATTAGTGTTTTCTTATTTTATATTTATGATTTATTATAAATGATTGTTTTATTTATTTGAAATATTAATATATTACTTATTTAGTATATTATGTCCTAAGCGCGTGGATGTCCGACCTTTTTGAAAATTGTAGTATCTCGTATGTTCTTATATCTCATGTTCCGTGTTCGTGCAACCTAACTCCTGTTATATGAGATTACTCAATACATCATGCTACTCAACCAAGGTTTTTTTTTATTATCAATAAAAAATGAAGTTTTTTTTTTTTAAATTTAGTTTCGTATCATTGAAATAAGAAATTAATTTTTTATTTTTATAATTTATAATTTATTATAATTTTAATTATTTATTTCATATTTATTATAATTAATTATTTATTTATTTGAAATATTAATGTATTACTTATTTAGTGCAGTGTATCTTAAGCGTGTGGATGTCCTACTTTTTAAAATTTATTATATCTGTACTTTCTTATATAAAAAAAGAGTTGGGAAAATATTAAAATATAAAAAAATGGAAAATAAAAAAAAATAAAAGTTGTAAGTATATACTGTTGTTGGTCCCTATTGTAAAAACATAAAGATCGTTTGATTGATTTTGTATAAAATATTTGTGATAATTATTGTTGGTCAAAATTTAATTATCGGTCCCTACTGTTCCTATTTTTATTTTTAGATTTTTAATAATTAATCAAACTTGTTAGTCCCTACTTTCCTCCTCACACTTGGCAATTTTAGAGGTTCTCGTCACACTTGGCAATTTTAAAGGCTTACACTTGGCTTTCATATAATGCAAAATGCTATACTTTTATATATTATATTGATTTTTCAACAATATAATATAATTTAAATAGTCTTTAATGCTTACATTTATCTCTATTTTTTTTAGAATTTTATCTTTATATAATTTTGTTAATTATATCTCAATCTTAAAAGCACATATGTTATATCATAGATAAAAAAAATAAAAAAATAAAAAAAAAAACTTGAAAGAAAAGAGCATTAGAATTTAGGGCATGTTTGATTCAGCGATTCATACAGCAGAAAACTGATAATGATTGCTAATAGTTTATAACTGTTAACTGATGAATGTTGATATTTGATAACATTTTGGCAATAGCTGATAAAATTTTGGCAACAGCTGTTAAGATATAAAATGCTCATTAATGATGTAACTGTTTTTTTTTTTTTTTTTTTTTTTTTTTTTAGTCTTGCTAATAGGTTAATGTTTTTTTTTTTTTTTTTTTTTTAGTCTTGCTAATAGTTATTTTTATGAGGTTAATATAGTCCAAATAAAATAATATCCA